GGACTCAGAGCTCTGGCCTGGGCAGGAGGAGGAGAACTCCATGGTCGGGGATGTGAATCTCTTCCTCACCAACACCGAGGACCCGACTGTGGGCGAGATCGAAATCATGATTGCAGGTCAAGTTCTGCTTCACAGCTTGGGGCTCTGTCCCTGTGGCTGCGTGCTGCAGAGAGGTGTTGATGTTCCTGCATCAGCTTTTTATTCTCATGCTTTACCATGGCTGTTCAGGCCTGATCAGCCCATGGCGTGCCCAGGTCACAGCCTCCTCTGACAAGTGCCTGCTGTGGCTGGTTTGTCTCCCCCAGCTGGATGCTGACTCTGTGCTGTCTCTTTCAGAGCCCAGCTGCCGTGGCAGAGGGTTTGGCAAGGAGGCAACTCTGCTGATGATGGCCTACGGTGAGGGTGGCTCAGTGCACCAACAGGAGTGTGGGGGGCTGAGGTCTGGGAGCACATAATTCCCAGTGATACAGGCAGGGTAGCAAGGGATGCATCTGGCCCACAGGACAGGAGTCTTGTGCTTTTATAGATGTGGCATGTAATAGAAGTGCCTCTCTCTCTGATTTCTTCTGCAGGAGTGAGAAAACTGGGGATCACCAAGTTTGAGGCTAAGATTGGTCAGGAAAATGAAGCCAGTATCTGCATGTTCAAAAAGCTTCACTTTAAGGAGGTGCAGTAACAGCCCATCTCCCCAGAGGATGTGAGCAGCATTTGCCCTGTGGCTGGGCTTGAGCTGCTTGCTCTGTGTGTGCTGCAGGTTGCTGTGAACAGCGTTTTCCAGGAGGTGACCCTGAGGCTGGATGTCAGTGACCAGGAGAGACAGTGGCTCCTGGAGCAGACAAAGCACGTGGAGGAGAAGAGTTACGCTGAGCTGAGGCAGCCAGCTGGGGTGCAGGACAGCTGACAGACACCTCCAGACACCAGCTGGGTTTCCAGGGAGAAGTTGGACGTTGTTGCAAGGTCTGGGTGTGGAGGACACCAAAGAGCCAACAGTGGAGCTGTTCTGTCTCCTTCAGCTGCTTTGTCATCTTGTCAGCTTTGCACTTTGCTCCACCAGCCAGGATTACTGCCTGAAATTTGGACCTGGGGAACACTAACTCATAGGTTTGGCTAGGAATGACTCTGACTTTGATTTGCTGTTCCAACAGAGCCTAAAATCACCAGCAGTTGATTCCTGGACAAGCAGAAACTTCTCCCACTGCTCTTAAATCAGGATTCACGAGTGAGGAGGTTTCATATACTGGCAGCTCATTCTTTTTTACTCTTGAATAAAAAATTTAAAAATCACAAAGATTCTGAAGTGCCTGAGCATTACGTGTGGCTAAGCTGCTTTCTTTGGTAGCTCAAAAAGTGGCTCAGAAGTTGTAAAGGACATCAGAGACCCTTTAAACCCGGTTTCCTGGGGTGTGGTAGTTTGCAGGGGGGCACTGCTGGGTCCTGGCAGGGAGGAGCTCAGATGGGGGTGAGCACAAACAAAGGGCAAGTAAATAGGATGGAAATTGCTGATATTGGCTGATCAAGGCTAGAGCTGAGCCCCACCACTATGAGGGGGCTGAGAGCTGCAGGAGGCTTCTGAGACAAACCCCCTCCCGCTTCAGGGCTGAAAACCTCGGCCAGCAGTGATGTTGCACTTCATTTTCCTTGGCTGCTTTGATGAAGGTAAGGAGAGCACACTGAAAGGAGACAGCTCCCTTCTTCCACCAGCTCAGGACTCACTGCTGAGCCTGCAGGGTCCATTTGCTGCTCTCCACTAAGATAAAGATGAACATGGGGGAAAGATCTCTTACTGGGGGGCAGATATATTTAGGGCAGGAGTTATCCAGCCTCTGCTGCAGTAGATCTGAGGTCCATGGATGAAAAAGAGGCACTTGCCTGACTTCAACTGGACAAACTTCCCTGTGCAGTGACTCAGCCTGACCTGTCCTGCCCTACACACACTGTCCACAGCAGGGAAGCTGCTCAGAGTAGAGGACAGAAGGTAAGAAGGATAACTGATGCTCCTGTGTGTTTTCATACTGTAACAGCAGCTCTAATCCTAGACCACAAATTATCTGTTTCAGTGATAGAAGATCAGGTAATAACTTTCAGATTTGCCGAGGGATGTTTTGGAGATTGGCAGTCTGTGGAATTTTTATTGTTGCTGTGCCTGTGTTTGTAGGGCCTGGGGGCTTTAGTTTTCCAATTTTAGCTAATTTAAATACATTATTCCTGTGACTAATATTAAAGCCAAGTATGGGAACAGTGTATCATGGCATTTTAAACAAGTATTTAGTGTGGATTTAGTTGTAGTGAAAGCTTTGTGTGGTAATAAAGTGAAGAGCTGCTCTACTTCCTGCTGGGATTACCATGACAAGGGCTGGTAATCCTCCTGCCCCTCAGATTTGCAGAACCTGCTGGGTGAACTGCTGGCTCTGGTGCTCCTTCCGTGAAGTGTCTCATCCCTCTGCCAGAGGAGCGAGGCCAAACCGGCAGGAGAGATGGAGCTGGGCTGGGATTTGCTCCCCTAAAACCCAACCAATGTGGGAAAAATAATTTTTTTTCCCCTCTGCTGCCAGGGGAAGGGGCAGGGTGATCTCCTGTGCCCGCTCCTGTGCCTGGCTGGTTGCTCTGGAGGCAGCGAGGGCCCCGCTTGGCATCCCCGGGCTCGGCAGGCGGCTGGGAACAGCCTTTCCCTGGCAACCCTCACAGAGCTGGGCATGGCCC